CCAAAGCGACTCGACGCAGCGTCTCGTTCCCTCGGGGAACCATGGTTACATACGTAACCTAGAGACGATACCATGCATCTCTTAGTTTAGTCCAATGGATGAGAGTTTACCTCTGCTGGTAGATGTTATAACTGTTTTTTTATTTTACCTTTATTTAACCAGGAAGTCTCATTGAGATTTAAAATCTCTTTTTCAAGAGAGACCTGGCCAAGGTAGCAGCCATACAGTAAGACAATTTTAAAATACAAGAAGTACACATTACAACAATATTTAAACATCCTCTCAACAAAAACAATCACAAGCTTCCAATACCACTCTCTTTATGATGCCTTTAAATTCACCAATAGACACACATTTATGTAGTTTTAGATCTTTTTGTAAATTATTCCATGCCCAGGGTGCATAATATGAAAATGCAGTTTTCCCCAGTTCTGTACAAAGTCGAGGTACGTTAAAAAAAAAGAGAGTACGTTAAAAACTTTCTGAGGGCGAGAATACAGTTTGCATTAAAGCTGTGTATGTAATAATCATGCATTTTCCTATTCTAGGGGATTTATACACATATCACCTCTGCATGGATATAATATTGATAAAAATGTGTTTAAATGCACAACAATGACATTTTTTCCTTTTTTCAGGTGATTCAACGCAGAGAAGATGGCTCTGTTAACTTTTTCCGTGACTGGGAAGCTTATCGTGAAGGATTTGGCAAGATAACAGGAGAGCATTGGCTTGGTAAGCCTTCCATGTCACTATCTGTAATGCAATCTGTCTGGAAAAAGCTTTAGTAATATTAATGTCACTAAAAGATGTAGAACATGTAAGCAGTTGTAATATGCTATGTCCATTACTGCATATTAAACAGCAAAATGCATTTTCTATCATATATAGTATATAATAAGTGCTATATACTATGTGATATTCATTATACAAATAGTTAGTTTAGTTCATAATATTTTATCAAACAATTTTTGTTGAAGGAGCAAAACTAACCAGAATAGCTGACCATGTTGTGTCTGAAATGTAAATAACTTTATATAACTTCTTGTTTATAGAACTGTTGTATAAAAGCGCACCCGCAACCATGAATCACAGTTTCACACTTTTTGGTTTTGACAGTAATGTTTTAAAAAGCAGGCTGAGGAGTTATTTTGCTTCTGTCATGACACACACAAACACGCTGATCATGTTTGTCACTCTTTTATATATGACTGTTTTTCTGACAACTGTAAGGAACATGGGCATGTTCGGTTATTGCCACGGTGAGCTGCCAGCACGGACAAAATGCCAAATTGTGTGTCCAAAGCCGAGCGTAGCAGATGGCTGTGGGTGGACAGGGAGCAGAGCTTTATAAAGACAAGGAAACTCATCATAACGTCCACTGATCAAGCATGGGAAATTTTGGTTCTATCCCATACTGGAATTACAGATTAGTGCTTGTTGATTCAGCTCACTGTTTTTTAAGGGAGTAGTTGATTAAAATTTAAAATGCTGTCATTATTTACTCAACCGTATGTCATGTTAAAGTCAAATCAAAAAAATAAAATAAAATAAAATAAAAGGCGTTCTCAGAATACATTGTGACAAGGTCAGAGAAATGTGAAGTGTAAAGGTAACTTTTTAAAAATGATGGCCAATACAGATAAGCTAATTTGATAATACATTTTTAAATGTTATGACTGATAACTAATAAATAGCTGATATTCAAATTTTATTATATACTATATTATATTCTATAAAATAAAATAAAATCAGTCTATAAACTATTAAATAAAATATGAAATAAATAAAAATACTAAATAAAAAATAAAGACAATTTCAGAAAGCATTGTGACAAGCTCAAAGAAATGTAAAGTATAAATATATTTGTATTCCATTCCAAACTGAAAGGTATACAAAACAAAACAAAACAAAATAGAATAGAAGTAGTCCATGTCTTCTGTTTCGTGTTTTTCATACAAAACTATGGTATAGCTTCAAACTTGGAATAGAGTTGTATACTCTACTTTTAAGGTGCTTGACACACCTAGTTGATTTGAACTGTCATTGTATAGGGAAAAAAATTAAAGATTCTCAAAAAAATTGTTTTTGAGAATCCAGTTTGAAATGATGTGAGGCGATTAAATAATGACAGAATTTTTGGATGAACTATTCTTTTAAACCTGATAGATGGAATAAGGAAAACGTTGTGGTTTGTTTGTGTATCTTCCGTGACGGCCGGTTGCTCTCCAATATGTTGAATGCAAAGCAGATAAATAGCATTTTCTTCTATTTACTGCAAGGTTGCTCCTCTTTCGAGGAAAAAAAACATTTTTCTGTGATGGCGATGCTTATGGGTTGTGTCTTGTTTCTTTTTTCGCCTTTGCCTGATAAACATTTTAGGTCTAGACTTGTAGAGTTGTTGTCTGTAATGTGCGCTCAGGGTCCTGTGTCTCAATCAGCCATGATGAACTATGACAGGCCCGTCACGGAGTGTCATCTTCGAGAGATTGACAGCTTCACAACGAGTGCAGGACAGCACTTGCTAGCAGCGTCTCTCACGCCCGCTGTGGCTGAGAATGGCTTTTACCATGGCCTGCTCCTTTTTCTTCACAGTGAGTAAGACCAGCCTAGAGCAATTCCACAGGCTGTTCGACTCACGATATTGCTTGTGCCGCTGGTGGTCAGGGGTTCGGGTCCCTTTTGGGCAAGCCCAGGATGGAACAGTCCTCCCTGGAGTGACGAGGTTCAAGGCCCTGCCTCGTGGTGAAGATGTGCATTGGTGCCAATGAGTTGAGCTGCTCCAGCCCACGCTCTTAATCAATAAGAGACATGAGGGAGCTGGAGACAATTAACCTCCAGGGCTGGCAAAATGAGTTCCAGAAAACATCAGCAACACAGGCTCATCAGGAATGAGGTGACAAGGAAACTGGGGAGGGCAGAGGACCTGTAGCAAGAGACAATCTAGCCTCTCACCTCCAACAAATAGGATACGGAGCACAGTTCACAATAGCTCTGTTGCAAAACTTGCTTGTGCGCCATTGTGAATTGAATTGGGAATGCCTTATAAATTCCAGTTTATAGCTGCTGGATTTAAATTGAGTCTGATGCGAGGTAGCAAACAGGATGCAGAATTGCTGTATTTGAATGTGAGGAGTTAGAATTAAAATGAATTGGAATTCATACAACTAATTTTAATTAGAAAAGTTAAACATTGGAATGTTGGCAAATTGAATTAATAGTGAAAAAATTATTCAAATAGAGTGCTACAGTGATTATATGTTTTTGCAGTCCAACCCGGAAGTTAGCATCATTCTGGTTCCCTTGACAAAAACCCAACAGGATTTTTTCCATTGGCTTTTGGATTATTGCAGAAAATAAGCTTTGTGACCAGCAACCATTTATGTTTCCTACACGTTTTGTTCATTATGGTCTTCTCAAATTAACACAACTTTTATGAATTTTTCATGAATTATAGAATTAAACATGAAAATATCTTGATCTTGTGTTAACCACAGACCTATTTTTAAGACATTTAACCAAAAATCCATTTAAAAAAAAAACATTGACATTGGAACCAGAAGTGTTAAAATACTAACTAATTTCCAGGGTTTGCCCTATGAAAATATGTCTCCCCTCAGTACTCTATTAAACTTCTTTACATTCCTCTTCCTGTCATTCCATACTCTGGGATGTGGCCAGTCCAATTGAAATTCATACTCATAAACTGATTTAATTAGAGAGTGAACAGTGTGATACTCTAATAAACATAAAAATACACAAATTGAATAAGGTAATTGATCTTTTTTACTGATACTTCTCAGTACTGAATAAAATATATTTATCAGTATTTCCTTTGGTTTCTGAACAGAACGAATGACAGACAAATCTGAAGTTTCTCAGAGAAACTCATGAGCTACTTTTGGCGTGCATGCAGGCGAAGATCGTTTTAGTGCCACATTACCAATTAGCTTGAAATGCTTATGCATAAATGTAAGTCGAAAATATTAAGGGAGCAATATGAATATTAATGCACTAGAGTGTATTTTTGTGTCATCAAAGGAGAGGTTTGAATTATCATTCCATAATTTCCTTTTGTAGTGTATTAGCATATCCATTCATGATCAAACTCCCAGAGCACTATAAATAAGTCTTTTATCAGTCATTTTCACAAAATTCTGTTGAATTGCTTATAATAAGTAATTCCCATTCCCTGAATATTTACAGATGAGTGTCGATTCGATACAAGACTCAAGTGCTCTTCAAAAGCTCATGCACTTACACTTGTGAGGAGCTCCCATGAACTTCTGTTGTCCTTAATAATTATAATGACTACATCCTTACCATAGAGGAGAGTGAGGAGTGTTGTCAGGGGCGTAGCCATCATTTCAGAAGTGAGGGGGACAGAAATGTCAAATGTAATAATTGTATTTATTTATTTATTTATTTACTTTGATTTTTTGACAAAAAAAAAAAATTCTTATCTCTTACTTTTAATTGGCTAAGAAATCAAATACATTGCTGGATACTAACCAATAATTTGTATTCTATTTTATTAGTATTATTTTATTTTTTATTTTTTTGCATATTTTTTCCTAATTACAATTTCATGATTGGTTTATATACTACAAACAATTTTTCAATTTTCATCACAGAATAAGATAAGAAAATATACTTTATAATTTCTGTACGGTAATAATGCATCATTCATATACTTTATTTATTTATTACCTGGAGATGACTTGAAAAACACACATAAACCATATATTGTCGCAATTGTGTGTTTATTTTCTTCAACGTTTCTGCTTTTTCAGCTTAGCTACAGTGATAGCTGGATGTCTTTGTCCATATTAGGGTTTTTCCTGGCACGTTATAAGTTATTACTTCTATGAGTGCCGCTTTGGGCTTTCAGTGCGAGAGCGCCCTCCAGCTTCGAGGATGAATGAAGCATACACTGCATGAGAGTCTTTAGCACTCCGTAATGCTTGAAAACCTTGAAAACCTCTACGTGAACACACTTGCCCGAAAAAAGTGGGGGGACACGTCCCCCACATATTCTACGCCCATGAGTGTTGTAACCCGGGCTGAGTTGTAACACCATCTATTTAACTAATGAAATGATACGTGACCACCACGCGAGGTGATAGTAGAACTGATAGAAGTTTCTGTGTAAGAATTTACAGGATTTTACGGTAAAGTGTAATTTTATGTCAGTTTTATCTGAATCAGCAGGTTTCATTTTATATGTAACACTGTATCAAGCTTTTTTATCTGGGAAATGCCAAACAAGGAGGCTTTCAACTATTTCCATTGTACTTCTACTGAACTTATCAAGATTGTACAAAATAACCGTGAAAATACCACTACTTTTTTTAAAAATACTTTTATTCAGCATGGATGCATTAAATTGGCCAAAAGTGACAGTAAATACATTTTAATCAAACAAAAGAATTTTTTTATTTAAAAAAAAAAATATATATATTTTCTATTCATCAAAGAATTGTAAAAAAAAATAAAATAAAAATAAAACAAAATTATTACAGTTTCCCCAAAAATATTGAGAAGAACAACAACTGTTTTCAGCATTATTAATAATAATAAATGTTTCTTGAGCAGCAAATTAGTTTATTAGAGTGATTTTTGAAGGATCGTGTGACACTGAATACTGGAGTAATGATGCTGAAAATTAAGCTTTATATATTACATTTTAAAATCTAAAACTCTAAAACAGTTCTTTTAAATTGCATTAAAATCAG